ACCAAAGACTGAAACCCATTAATGTCAACTACTAGACTATAAATTCCAAGAGGTCAGCGTCCAAGGGCTAAGTAGTCCCCTTTCGTCTTTGAATGGACCCTCACTTTTCTCCCTCTCCCCCGTCTGAGATCTTACCACCCGACCCTTGCTCCAGCCTCGGCCCCACCCCTACTCCCCTTTGCTCCCCAGCAGTTCCTGGCCTGCCCCTGCAGGGCTCCTCAATCTTTAGGATTCTCTGATTTCCTCTCCTATAAGCTCTACCCACTCTGATACCACCTCACCCCTTGCTCCTCCAGCAATAATAACCTCTGCATTTACTACATTTTTGAGTAATCATGTATCTGTCTATCTATCTATCTATCTATCTATCTATCTATCTATCTATCTATCTACCTACCTGACTACCTACCTACCTACTTATTTATTTATTTATTTATTTATTTATTTATTTATTTATTTATTTATTTATTTAGGTTTTTCGAGACAGGGTTTCTCTGTGTAGCTCTGGCTGTCCTGGAACTCATTCTGTAGACCAAGCTGGCCTTGAACTCACAGAGATCCGCCTGCCTCTGCCTCCCGAGTACTGGAATTAAAGGTGTGTGCCACCACCGCCCGGCCTATCTATTTATTTTTGAGCTATCTCTCAGTATGTAGCCCTGGCTGGTCTTGAACTTGGGACCCAGAGAGCCCAGCTACATAGTAGGACCTACCTTGTTCAAACTGCGAAAGACTCCGTGATTGTGATGTGTTGCTATCTCCATCTTACAGATAAGGAACTCAAGGACCAGAGACATTCAAGGGGTTCCCCAACTTTACCCAACTAGCAGATAACAGCTCTGGGATTCAAACCCATTCAGTCTGATCCTCCACCATAGCACCCGCTCACTGCTCTACATCTAACTGCTTGCCATGCTCCTTTGAGTTTTCTTCCTCTGCCCATGCTAAGGTCCCTGCCTGGCGGACTCTTCCTCTCCATCCTCCACCTGCCCCAAGCCTTGTTTGTCACAGAAGGTCTTGCTCCTAAGTCACCTCTGTTTCAAAGTCCTTTCCAGATTCCCCAAGAACAGGGCATTTGTCACTCTTTAATTTTATAACTGAGAGAATTCTGTAATGCCACTTATCATCATCATCATCATCATCATCATCATCATCATCATCATCATATCATCATCCACGACAGCTCCATAGGCCCAGCGGGCTTCAAATTCATGATCCTCCTGCACCAGTCTCTCAAATGCTGAAGTTACAATCATGTGCCACCACTCAGCTTGTGTTGAGACCTCCCTCCAGACTCCATGTCCCACTCCACCCACCCAAACCCACCCACACCCAGGAGCGGCATTGGCAGGGGACGTGCTCTGTCTCCCTCTAGTGTCTAGCACAAAACTGGGCACAGAAATAGGTGTTCTCTAAATGCCTCAGCACTCATCCCTGAACACAGTTGGAAATTTCCAGAAGATGAGTGTCCGGCTGGAAAGAAGCAGGGAAGGAGGAGGAAGCTGTAGAGTCCTCAGGTAGGAGAGATCTCCATGTCGGGAGCACTTTCTGAGAGACAGTTTTACTGATCTTACCACTTGGATCAAACTCCCCAGAGGGGCCAGCTGGTGATGAAGTTCCACACTTGCCTGACTCCAGAGGTCTTTGGGAGCCAGCTGCCCTACCCTAGGGGATTTCCCCCTCTTTAGATGCCAGGAACTGAGCCATGGTGGGAAGTGACCCTGGCAGGGTGTCTGCATGTCACAGGAGGAAGTGTGGCCAGAGTTCTGAGGCTCATGGCTTAGGCTACCCCAGCCAGACCCGTAGGCCTTCTGACAGCAAGTGGTCACATGATTTAAATAATACAATAGTTCTGGGGAAAGCATGAACTTCCCTGCCTGTGAGGGAAATTGCCCCATCCTCAGGGATATGGGGGTAAGAACCATTTTAGTGTCTTTCACAGTGCTGCCATGGTACCCTGGCTAGGACTGGGGGCAAAATCTGAGTT